CTTAAGGGTATTCACCTCTCTCCTTTGGAGGGATTAGTGACCTTACCCTCTGAGGTAGAACTTTGAGAGAGCCTTTCCCTTTGATGTTAAGTCCTCAATGGCATCCTTTGGAAGTCAGTGAGTACTGTAACATCCTCACCTCATCTTATTGACTGAATCTTGTTTGCTGGAGCATTTGAGCCACTGAAGATAGAAGCTGAAGCTTTGAAGAGGATGATTCCTTGAAGATTATTGAAGTCTGAAGACTTTGTGAAGATCAAGTTGATGCCTGAAGATCCCTAGAGATGGTGAAGCCTGAAGGTGGAGCTGATCAAAGGAGCTGAAGCTCAAAGGAGAAGATGAGTTGATACTCATGTTGTAGGGTTGATGCCTGGAAAGCAAGTGGTCTCTGAAGTCTGAAGACAGGGTTGCTGCTGGAGGAGCTGAGGCTTTCTTCTGTTTTCTTTGATGTATTGTGTGTTTTGTCTGATTTGTCTGCTGCATTAGACTAAGTTCATCTAGAATAAGTTCAGTCTAAGAGCATGAGTGCATCTGCTTGTATTGTTACTGCTTGGCTTTGCTTACGGGTATTCGGTAGAGCCCAGCTCCCTTGCCCATGTGTTTATCTTGCTTGATAGCATTTCATTTCTTTTGCCTGTATGGTGACAGTTTACTGTTTTTTGCCTGATAGCATGTTGTTTATTTCAGTATGATTACTGTTATTTCATGACTGGCTTGAGGTCAAGACGAGCTTGTGGAGGCTGAAGCCCCACACACATTTCCTCCCTCACTTGCATTGCATGCATTTTACTGTTAAAGCTGATGCTTTTGTCTGTTTTGGTGTATCATCGACATGATCCCTTAGGACTCTCATTTCCTCTGATGAGGATTTGATGATAGACTTTTAGGTTGAAACCTATGCATGACAACATCTAGGAGTTCCCTGTTCAAACCTCAACCATAGGATGAATTTGTGGCATGATAACGGTAGGACTTGATAGTCTCCCCCCTAGTTGGGCCTATTCTCTTCTCATCTCGAAGCAGTTTAAGATACAGTAATCATGAATGATTTCTTTCGTACGTTACGAGCCTTAAGCTATCTGAGAAAGGATTGTGGGAGAGATTCTTTTCCACAGTCTGGATGTTTAGTATGGTACCCTTTGGGTGACATGCAACGCATTCACTCTCAGGTCATAGTCTCTAGTGCGGTTGAAATCGCAAACATAATAAAAAACACTTCTTCCAGGAGATAACCCGTAGTTTCTCGAACTACGTTTGCTCTGATCTTCCATACCGTGTGGAAGTACGTAGGCATAGGATGCGATGTCCTAGCGAGCAACCTTCCCCACCTTCCCCGTAGTTGGCCGAACTACGTTGACTCTGATTTCTCATTCTCTGATGAGAATACGTAGGCATAAAGTGCGACGCTTTGCCGAGTCATTTTTCTTTTCTTTTTCAGCCAGCCTTGATAGGTAGATAGAATAAAACCAACCCATCCAAGTAAACAAACAAGCGAGGATCCCGTCGAGTACGACGGACGTGAGGAGTGCTAACACCTTCCCCTTGCGTAACCGACTCCCGAACCCAGACAATGGTTGCGATGACCCTGTCTTACCCTTTTTCGTCAGGTTTTTCCGATCGTTTCCTTTCCCGCTCTGAGGGATAAATAACGAAAGGTGGCGACTCTTCTGTCATGCCGGCACCTTATTTTCGCGCAAGCGACACCATCATACACTATTACACCATCACAATGATCATACGAAACCCACCCTTACCATCCAACACTGTCATCTTGCTCAATTCCAAGCTTATCACTCTTCATCCATCCTCTGCCCTATCATTACTACAACTATCACACACTACTCTAATCAATTGTTCCTTAAACTACATCTCAGAACCTATATCATGGTCATTACCCAAGCCACAGAGGTTACACAAAATCTCACCAATACTCATGGTCATTATCCAAACCACAAAGGTTATACAGGAACTTCCCTAAAACCGTAAACCCAATCAATACCTCAAACTCACCAAAAACAACAATTCATCAACATCGACATATATCAATTCCTCATTGGTTTATCAAATACCAATTCTCAACATCAATCAACAATTATAGGCATGACAAAATAAAACTTCATACACCGATACATTCCTACGGGGTTAAGGAATCCCCACTACCCTATACATGTAAATACCATCCCAATCAAGTTTCTCCCCCTTACCTTGTTAATCGGTTTGATCGATGGAAATCCTCCTGGATTTGGTCTCTTGGCTTTCTCCTTTTTCTTCCGTTCCTCGTTCCTTTGCTCGTTCTACGCTCTTCTCACTTCTCTCGTTCTTTCTCCCAACTCTCCAAATGTATCGTAAAAAAGAAACCACTAACCCCTCACATTCCCTATTTTTTTTATCTAATCTTAATAATAATAATAACTTAATAAAATAATATAATAATAATAATCTTAATAGTAATACTAATATAATATTACTAATATAAATAATTATAATAATCATTATAATAATAATAATACACATAGCAATATTAATAATATTATTTCACCCATAATAATAATATTAATAATAATAGTAATAATACTCCACCAATAATATTAATAATAATAATAATAATAATAATAATAATAATAATAATAATATTCTCCCACTAATAGTTATATTAATAGTAATAATATTAATAGTAATAATATTCTCCGATATTAATAATATTACTACAATTAATAATAATAATAATAATAATAATAATAATAATAATAATAATAATAATAATAATAATAATAATAATAATAATAATAATAATACCACATTACTACTATTTATTTTATTATTATATTCACACCAATTCACCACCAATAATCCTCCCATATCAGGGACACCCACCAATCATCATCAAACACACCCCCACCAAAGGGCACACCAACATATAATAATTAAAATAGTAATAAAATGACTAAATAATTAAAATGGGTGTTACAGGGATTGTCGATGATGGAAAACCCAGTCCTATAGTTCGACCAAGTGGGTTCCCTGAAAGTCTTAATCCATGGTAAGGTGAAAATGCTAAGGACGGACTTTCACCAAATGTCAAACCGCTCCCATGCATACTTCCCGTCAATTTAGTTGGCATTCCAAAGTTTCGGCCCCTACCGTACATGGGTAAAGTGAAACCGGGCATAAATGGCCCTGAAGCCTAGACCACCGTTGGTCTTATCACTTCATGACGACGTGGTGACTGCTTCGGTCCACTATGGGCAGTCGACACGACTGTTGTAATGTGAGCGCTAACATTAGTTGCTTCAGATACCACTGTATTTCCTCCGGAGGATTTCTCCTCGTTTGGACTGGCATTTCGTGGATCTATTATTTTTTTTACCACTACATAACTGCATATATTTAACACAAAGGGTCTCACTGGGTGTGCTAATTTGTTCTCCAGCCTCTCCGGCGAACAACCTTTAGCCTCTTATTGAAGTTTACTTGCAGGATCAGCTACAAGAGTCCTATACTATGTGTTAAGTATAGGCTGGGTGTTTGAGTACTAGCATTTAAAGTGGTAGATAAAACAATACGATTGCAATGATTGAATTAAATCAATGAAAAATATAAGACAGAATTGCAAAGGGAAACAAACAAAATAGAGATAGCTTATAAAAACAAATTGCTCAAGTGTAAGAATGGATGCATGCATACATTTGCAGAGAATTGACTTGTTTCTCTCACGCGATGGTACTTTGAGTATATTCCTCTAAATGTTTAAAAAATACGACCTCTAAAACTGAAATTGGAACTTCCTTAAATAGGCCTAAAAAGTAACGTTTACTTTGTTGTCCATCATCCCTAGTTTGCCACGTGTACACCCACGTACGTCAACTATCTGCGTAACTTCCCACGTTCTCGTTCGTTGCAAACGTGTTTGTTCTCCTAGAACCTTTGGCTTACCTTCGACTTCGACTGGGATAACCATTTGTCGAGTTTGCCTCAATGTTCTCCTGACGGGGTAGGCTGTCAAGACTTCTTCCACTTGATTATGCAGAATACCCCATCAAACCTGTTTCTCCTTTTTTGATCGAAATTTACCCGCTAACAGGAATCCTTTAGACAACAACATTACATTTATGCAAAACGAATCATGAGATATATACCATTACGAATTTCTATTTCCAGTAGGCAAAGGGCATAAAAAGCTTGAGCGTATTGGACTTTTTGATGTTGAGCGGTAATAAGATTGATAAGAAAACACAACTAGATATTTGTTTAAATTTCTAGGAGCACTAGTGTGCAATTAACAAATGACTATGACTATTTATAGCTCTATATGTATCGAGAAAACTACTCCTTTCCTTATCTTATTCATTTAATCTCTACAGTCTCGCTCAATTTTCTAGTCTTCTTCTCTTATCCCCAATGGTTATTACATGAGTACTATCGAATGGACATGCTTTTATTTTGGTATATGTGTTATTCTCCTTAGTAAAATTCTTGGATTTATGAATCATGTGCAAGATTTTGGTGTGGTAGAATTCATTTATGGTTTGATTTTTTATTTGTATATGGGAGGAATATAAACAAAATAAAAATTAAAAAACCTTTTTTTAATTGCTGCTACCCGAGATTCAGTTGTGGATATAGATCCTTCTAACTCAACTAACATATGCATATACAAATGGTTGTGATCCAATCATTTAAAAACTAAAATGTTTCTAATGTTATTATCATAAAATTGGTCTAAAGATAGGCCCTTATCTGTTCAAATTAAAAATAAACCTAAAAAGAAATTTATATTAAAAATGGAAAGAATAAATATAATAATTTAATTTTTTTTAAACAACAAATATTTTATAAATATTAATATTCCAGAACACATGATGACTAGATATTAGTAGGAATACAAGACAAACTACACTTCAAATAACAAAAGCCCCCTTGCTCTAAGAACAGATTCAGCAGCAAAAACCAATAACACCAAAACTAAAAACTACTTTTTCTAAAAATAAATCACAAACAAATCAAAGAGAAAAACTCCATAGTGACACCTCAACATCTTCAAGATCTGCATCAGTATAATGAAACTCGTTCTCCAAGCTATGTGTAGGAGACAATAGCGCCATATTTCTCAAGGACTTTGGAATGTTCACCTCTTCCTCCTCCTCTTCTTCTTCCAGTCCAAACATAAGTTGCTCCTCTGTGGCGGCAGCTACAGCCGTGTCAATGTCATTTGTTAGTAAAGTCTTGTCTGGTCTAAAAGCCTCGGCAGCTTCTGCAGCCGCTTTTTGTATATCTTTTGTCGTGGTACTGGTAGGAACAGGAAGTCGCCAGGCCGAGTCTGCAAAGTTGAGACAGGCGTTGCGACCTCTCAAAGCCAATGCCGCGACGTCATGGGCTCGGGCTGCCATCTCGACAGTTGGATAGGTCCCTAGCCAAATTTTAGTTTTCTTGTTAGGCTCTCTCATTTCACACACCCACTTATCTAAGTTCCTCTTCCTCACACCTCTATATACCGGGTGGCGTGTCTCCTTGAACTTCTTCCTCCCCGCGCGCTTCTTCGGTGTGCTCTCGGCTAATCGCACTTTGTCGTTGAAAACGGACATGTCATGACGGATCTCTAAATTTGGCAATGGCGTGTTTGAGGAAGTGGAAGCTTTTGAGGAACTTGGATGTGAAGCGGAAGAGCTGTCATTTGGAAACATGTTTATGTGATGAAGAGGTTGGAAAAAGTTTTTGATAGTGAAAGAAGTGAAGATAAGAGTTTGTTTTGGAATGTGAGTTGGTGCTAAAGAGAGTGAAGAGTAAGGTGTTGTATATATAGGGAAGCATGGTTGAAGGAAAGAAGTAAATCTGAAGAGAGTTTGAAAAAGGAAAAGGGAAACTGATGAGGAAAGAGACACTAGAGAAGAGAGAAAAGATTAATAATGTTAGTATCAAAATATCTATAGAGACCAAATATCTTTTTTATTCCTCGACATATATAACCAAATAAGGTATGTAAAGTATTCATAGGAATAGGCTATTTTACCTCTTATTTCTTTTCTGTTCAAAAAGTTTTGAACTCCTTTAATAAATTTTTTATTATGTTTTGAGAAAAGTAAATAAAGTACTTAATGTTTTATTTTATGAAAATAATATTTATATTATTATTAATCATAAAATATTTGTATGATCAATAAATTATAAGTGTGTATAGTCTTTCATATATATATATATACACACAAAAATGCATAACATAACAATTTATTTATATTAATATATAAATATTAATTTCGTAAAAAATTGAACTTTATAGTAATAATTTGTATTTATTAATCTAATTCATCATCTCGATAAAATTCATTAATTATTTAATAAATCTTAAAAATATAGTATTCATATATTAAAGGAAGAAGGATAATTATTTATGAATGTTAATTTGTTAAAAAAGAACAAACAAACTAAGCAAAAAAAAAAAGAGTCATATTTAAATGCTCAAATAATACATTTTGGTTAATATATGTAGTTGTGCAGACACCAAACGATTGTATGTATGTATGGAACGTAAATTCAAACCCACAACATTTGATTTATTTCACTTTTTTTTTACTTGATTTTGGAATTTTGTAGTAGCTAACTCACATCATCATTATATACAACTGAGTTGACTCGGTAATTTTATTTTCCCTTTTCTTAAGCTTAACTTCGCTCGTGAGAAAAGGGGTACATGCTTTAATTATATTCAGAGAAAACTAAATTCCTGTGTAACTATAACAGCTACATGTTTTAGTAGTCAATTTTTCGTTTATTTGTTTTTCTTTTATATATTTATATATATATATATATATATATATATATATATATATATATATATATATATATATATATATATATATATATATATATATATATATATATATATATATATATATATATATATATATATATATATATATATATATATATATATATATATATATATATATATATATATATATATATATATATGCTTACTTGTGCATTATTTTCAATTTATAATAAATATCTAATCTAACTAATATATTTTAGAAAAATAATTTCTCTTTTGATTGTTTTTTAAAGATTGTGAATTTATAGGATTAACGTATATTAAACTTATTTTCATCCAGGAAGATTAAATCGAAGATTAAACCGAAAATTAATAAACTAAAAAAATGAGTAATAGTGTTTTATTTTATACAAAAGAAAAATAAAAGTAAATATTTTTGATTATATAGAATTTATTCACGAAAAAATTTCATATTCACATTAACCGTAGAAATTAAAACCATTTCCTTATATTTGATAAGGCCACTATTTATCAATTAAATTACTAATATTCGTTGACATAATAAAGGAAACTTAAGAAAGAAGTATTTTAATTTCCAAAAAAAACTTAAACTTTAGTTATTTGTCACTTTTATTTCTTTCCTGTCTGTGTCTCATGAAACAAACACGGTATTCTTGAGAAAAGTTATTCTTCCTTCCACTTGTTTTCTTTCCTACCGCGTTAAGTTATTACGCCATTCATCAGTTTTTGTCGATTTTACTTCTTTCTCAACATTTTCCTATAAAGCAAACATGGTTTATATGAGAAAATTTATTCTTCTTTCCACCCGTTCCATTTGCCAGCATGTATTTTAGAACCCCACAAAAATTTTCATTTTTTTAAAAATTTTTGTTTTATTCTATTACTTGTATTTTCCACGTGTTAAACAACCCTTCACACTTTCTTATATTTTCTCTATTTATATTTCTGAACAAGAATTTTTTGCGACGACACCACCGTGCCGGGACTTCCTGCCACCGTCGTCTTCTTCTTCTTCAAAAGTTAGTCTCCTGCTCAATTATTTTGTTTACAATTAAAAATCCATAATTTGTCTGTTAGTGTTTCAAAATCAAAAGTGACTAGTTTTCAATAAAAAAATTCCTTATGTCTTTTCCTTTGATATTCATCTGAAATTTGAATTGGTCTCAATTCTTATTTCGAGTAAATCCTGAACTCTCTAGTTTTGGGAGAATTCAATCTCCATGCATTGTAAAACTTTGTTATACTCAACATGATTTTAAATTGATGTCGGCGTTCAGGTACTCCATTTTAAATAAAGTATTGATATCGGATACGTATTGGATATCGGTACGCGTATAGTAGACATAGGGTACGCATCGAATTTGTATCAAATTTTTTTAATATTTTTTTTTAAGTTGATACACCAACTAGTACACATTTGGTACCATGAATCCAATCTTTTAAACTTTATTTTAATGGTTTAGTTTGAATTTTTTTTACTCAATAAAAATTAGGTTAATTATTCTATTTATTTTTTCATTGAAAAGAAATATGCTCAATCTAAAGAGAGCTGATGATTTAGTTTTTGTTCATACAAATATCTGTTTTCTCTCGAGAAAGAGTAAGGTTTATAATGAAGAAATAATAAAAATATGAGATATTGATATAAATGAATGAGATCTATTTGATAGAGTTGATATTCTTAAAATTGTTACTCTCTTTCTCTTGATGAACCTGAACTAAAAGGTATTCTTTTTTAATGATATTGGAGAGGAAAATATAAGATTCGATCATGATTTTATTATTTATTGATATTTGTTAAGTATGATTTATTTATGCTATTATAAAGATATTAATTATTTTAAAATAAATTATTTTTTAATTTTAATATTTTGATGTTATTTAAATAATATAATTCTTATATTATTTTTATAATTGTATTTAAAAAAAATTATACTAATGTAACATACTATAATTTTTTTAAAAATATTGTATTCCGTATCAGTATTAGTATCAGATATTGAGTTTGTACCCGTATTTATGCAACACAGAATGTGGTTCATCCATTTGTTACGATTATGGTCATGCAATATTGGAGTTTTGAAATTTTATTTTTTTGATAATAATAAACTGAATAAATATAAACAAGATTATGGTCATTGCAATATTGGAGTTTTGAAATTTTATTTTATGGTAATATTAAACTGAATAAATATAAACAATATTATTCGACGCAGTTCCTAATGTTCCTAATGTGGTCTTGTGATTCTCACACTAATAAGGAAACAAAATATGTTTCATTAAGTTGATTGATAGCTGTCATATTCTGTATTGTATATTATTAACTAGGCGATTTGCTGTACCATTAATTACGTTATTTGTAGGCATATTCTAAGGAGATAAAATAGGAAATTGTTTAAAGTTCCTGATATGAAACAGAAGTTGTACCGTGTATATATTGGCAATTTCTGCTATGTGAAAGACACAGAATTCTTCCATAATTTATTATGGCATCAGAGCATGGTCCTGATGGAAAAAAAACTGTGGAAAAAACTGAGGTGGTAAAGAAGACGCCATCTCCGTATGATTTGAATTCGAATGACAACCCAGGAAGCATAATCACCCAAGTCCAACTTCGGGGTGAAAATTATGACGAATGGGCAAAAGCTATTAGGACCTCGTTACGTGCACGACGTAAATGGGGGTTTGTCGAAGGAACCGTAAAGAAGCCGAATGAAGAATCACCAGAAATGGAAGATTGGTGGACCGTCCAATCGATGGTGGTGTCTTGGATCTTAAACACCATTGAAGCTTCTTTGCGTTCTACTATTTCCTATATGGAGAACGCAAAGGAACTTTGGGACGACATTAAAGAGCGATTCTCAGTTGCGAATGGGACAAGGATTCAACAACTGAAATCGGAACTTGCTGAATGTAAACAAGAAGGAATGTCCATGGTGAACTACTATGGAAAACTCAAGACATTATGGGATGAACTCGGAAATTACCATCAGATACCAACATGCACATGTGAAGGGTGCAAATGTAACATCAAGGCAAAATTAGAGAAACAAAGGGAAGAAGAGAAAGTGCACCAGTTCCTGATGGGATTGGATGATGTGGTGTACGGAACGACTCGCTCTAGCCTTCTTGCGACTGATCCGCTGCCATCGTTGAATCGAGTATATGCTACTTTGATACAAGAAGAACGCGTGAAGGCCATATCTAGGACCAAGGAAGAAAGAACAGAGATTGTTGGTCTAGCTGTGCAGACCGGTGGAAGGGCTAAAGGACGCGGAGACACAAAAGACAAAGGCATAGTCTGTTCAAACTGCAATCGGACAGGGCATGATACCATGGGATGTTTTCAAATTGTCGGATATCCAGATTGGTGGGGGGATAGGCCACGCCATGAAACAAAAGCAGTTGTTCGAATCAAAGGGCAACAACAGGGACGCAGTGCAAATTCTGGACGCGGCAGAGGCATGGGTGTACGAGCAAATGTTGCCCAAGCAACTATTGGAAGAACAGTTGAGGAAGCGGCAGAAGTAGACAACGGAGGATTGGCTGGATTAAGCACAGAACAGTGGCAAATTCTTGTGAATATGTTGGACAGCCAGAAGGGAAATCCTAGTGAAAGAATGACAGGTAAAGAAGCTTGGATTATTGATACAGGGGCGTCAAATCACATGACAGGAAATTTGAGATTGCTTCAGGAATTGAAGGAAGTACAGGGATGTCCTGTAGGTTTGCCAGACGGACAGAAACTTGTTGCAACGAAGGAGGGAACGACAACTCTTGATGGAGGGTTGAAATTAAGCAATGTGTTATATGTGCCTAAATTGAGTTGTAGCTTGATATCTGTGACCCAATTGATAGACGAGATAAGATGTGTAGTGCAATTTTCTAACTCTT